GGTCAGGGCACTTGCAGGTCTTGGAGCTGCACCCTGGGGGACACAGGGAGGCAGAGGAAGAAAGGAGCCTCTTCACTCCCTCCTGGGGAGGGCCTTCCACTCAGTCACTCAGCAAAGATGCCTAGACATCCCCTCCTTGTGCCCCTCAGAGGCCTCAGCATGGCCCTGCTTGGAACAGCCCCTGCTGTGAGTGGGGACATGGGGTTGAGCAGTCAGAACTGGGGCAGACCTGTGGTCCAGAGGAGTGAGGAAAATGCCCTGGAGGAGGGGACAGGAGAGGTGACTCTCAAAGGACAGAGAGGCTCCTTTCAGCATGAGAGAAAATGTCCAGCAGGGGCTGGGGGCCCAGCTAGGGGTTGGGTCTTGGGCTCAGAACATCTCCCTCTCCTCCCCTCCCAATCCTGCGGTTTCTCCATAAAATGGAAAATTCCACTGAAAACGTCAGGGCAGAGGCGTCGGGAGGGCAGAGCCAGGCAGGGTAGGGTGGGGATCCCACTACCCCATTGGCCACCGTGCTCCCCCACCCTGCCATGGGCTCTGCGGGCGCAGTCTCCAGACCGTGTTTGTGGAGCCCAGGCGGATCGGAATTTCCAGTCGCCTCCTGGCTGGCCTGGTGTCTGGCCCTGGGAGGGCTTGGGCATGGTGTCTGCCAGGGTGTGAGCGCGTGTCCGCGTGGGCGTGGGGGGCGGAGGAGGGGGGCTGCGAATGCCACGCGTGTGCACCCCGATCTCATGAGCTGGCTTCAGTGTGTCCATGTCCACCAGGACATCCACACACTCGGTGGTGCACCCAAGGTAATGCCCACTCGGATCTGCCCATGCCTGGACATGGTCTTCTTGGCGTCCACCCTCCAGATACACACATTTACCAATGCTCCTCGGGGTGGGGGTGGGGACGGGGGGGGGGGGGCAGAAGGGAAAGAAGGACCAGTCTCCATGTGGTCCATGTTCTGGCCCTCAAGGACCCGCCTCTTCCATTCCAGCCCCACCCCCCACCTGGCTTATTCCCAACCTGCCTCTCCCCACTAGGTACCCTTCTCAACAGGCCGCCTCCCTTCACGTCCAGGCCCCGTCTCTAACTCAACACTTTCTTCCAGGCCCCATCCCTCCTACCTGGACATGGAGGGCGTACACACTTCTGCGCCTCCAGGGGACGCCCCGGACATGCATCGCCAGCCGGGCTTGGGCAGCGGCGGCGGCGCAGGCGACGGCCTGGCCCGCAGCTTCCTGAACAGGGACCCCACGGGCCCCACGCGCCCCACGTGGCCTCTGAGGTAAGGGCGGAGAGGGGGAAAGTGAGACGGCGGCCCACGCCAGGGACTGTGCCTCCTGGAAATCTAGTAACCATGTAGGACTGGAGGACGCCCCCCGCTAACTGCTTCCGAGGAGGATGGGTACCCCCAGAGAGAGGTTCTGCCCATCAGTTGTCTCCCAGGCGCACCTATCGAATGTGCAGTTGAGGTACCGCCCCATTTCCCCCAACCCCAGATAAGCTCCCCAGGGTTAGCCCTGCTGTTCTTGCGTCCCTCATACATTTGGGGTCAAAACACGCTTCCAAAGAACGGAGCTGTTACAGATGAGCAACTAAGGGCAGTAGGAAGGAGATTAGCTCCTGGGGGGGGGGGTGTCTTTCTTGTTCCCGACCTTGGCCCCTATTCCCAGCCCCTCCTTTCCAAACCCCCGCCCCTATCTGATCCAGCCCAATCCCTTGGACCTTGCTGAAGGAGCCCGGTTCTTTCTAACCGCGCCTGCATCCACACAGCCCCCTTACCCCAGTACCACCCATTCAAGCTCCACCCACCTCTGACCCATCCTAGCCAATCCCCACGCTCTCCTCTGCATGACTAATATGGATCCCGCCCCCTCCCCAGCCCCGCCCTTTCCTATACGGTCCCCGCCCCTCACTGGGCCCCGCCCCTCACTGGGCCCCGCCCTCACCAAGCGGGCAGCGGAAGCGCACGTGGTAGTTGGAGCAGCGGCGGCCGCGGGGCTGCTCGCGGTTGAGGCACCAGAAACCTCGCGTGGGGTTCAAGTGCACACGCTCGCCTACAGTGGATGGCAGAGCCCAGTCCGTGGTGCGCGCCTCCAGCGCCAGCGGCCGCGGGCACACGCGCGCTGGCCCGTAATAGAAGCGGATGGCAGCCAGGCTCTCGAAGTCGCCGTCGCCACCGGGATGGTCCACGTTGAACCAGGACGTCCACTGGCTGGCCTCTGCGGGCACCGCACGCTCTGGGACCCGGGCCGCAGCCTGTCGGGCCTCATCAGTGCATGCAGGGGCCCAGGAAGCGGCCTGCCCACCCTCATCTCTGAGGTAACAGCCTTATCTGCTGTCTAAGACGGCCACACCACTCCCAGTGAGCACAGGCTAACCCAGCCCGCCCTTGACCCGCCCAGATCCACGGTCTTCTAGGGCACAAGAAGCTATAAAGGGATCATGGGAGGTTGGCCTCCCCTAGCACCAGCCCCAGTTCTGCTGCCCAGTACTTGAGCTGGCCCATCAGTACAGGTTGACATTTGCCACACTGACATCTTGACACTGTCTCAGCAGCCCCCAGCCTTAGAATTAAGCCTGCCCTGCACCTCAGAATTCAGAACCCCTGAGGTGTGAGGAGACACGAAGGCAGCAGGAGGAGACCAGAGAACAGCCCTAGCTGTGGCTTTCCGTGGCCTGGCCCCTCTTGGTTAGAGTCAGCTGGGCCCTTGCTCACTGTGTAGCTGAACCCGCCAGGTAACCTGTTTCATGGAAGCCACAGGTGGGAACGATCTGGTCTCCCCGAAGTCAGCTTCTGCTCCATCAACTCACTGGCCCCACCCCACCCCGCCTGTGCAGGGGGTGCTCACTCCTTTCCTGACTTTCCCAGCTAGGAAACTAGAGACCCAGTTTCCAGAACCATAGGTCTGGAATCTACTAGAAGCACCCTGCATGATGCTTCCAGCAGCAGGGGGGAAGCACCCACTCCCACCCTACATTGGTTTCCTCCTTGACAAACAGGCTCTGGACTCTCACCCCTCTGCTCCTAAAACTTAGACTTGGGGCACCTATGCCAGGGGCTGCCATGTCCAGGGACCAGGAGGTTACTGGCCCTTCACCCCTTTGTCCCCTGCTTACATGACCACACCAACCAGAGCTCACATAGTGAGTCCACAGCAGAGCCAAGACTTGGACCCAGGATGACTCACCTTCCCAGTCCTCCAGGGCTGGCGAGGGCTGTCCAGGGCGCAGAGATGGACCTTCAAAGCCCCAGGCAGTTGCTGTGGGCTCCTCAGGGGGGCTAGTGACTGGAAGGGATGAGGAATGGAGGGAAGGAAGCATGCTGATAGGGACTTCTGTGGGCTGCTTGTATACAAGGTGCTGTCATGATCATCCCCATTTCATGGCGGGGGTGGGGGGGGGGGAATTGAGGGTTTCCAAAGCCAGAACCATCTCTCTGGCTGACCCCAAGAAATGCAGGAACCCCCCTCCCCTCCAGGAAACCTCCCTATCACCCTTCCCCCCAATCTCCTGCAGCCCCATCCCTCCCTCTGCCCTGGCCAGGATGCCATGGACTGGGGGAGTCTTTGTGTCTGCTCTGACCCCGCTACCCCCCTGAGTGCGCTCAGTGGCCACGAGTTTAGGTGGCTCTGCCTCTGCCCTCAGGTGGAGCTGCATTCCTCATCCATTTGTAGGGTGGAAGTCCCTCCCTCTGTGTACCCTCCATGCCTGCACTTGGGACCCAATCTGCCATTGGGAGGTCTTTGAAGTCTAGCCTGGCTTCTCTGACCTTGAGTTCTCTAAGATAGCCAGGCTGGACAGTGACCTCAGACAAGTCCCTTCCCTGTTTGTGTCTCAGTCTCCTCATCTGAGAAATGGATCCAGTGCCCTGCTCCACTGAGTGCTCCAGAGACGGGAAGTTTTCTGAATGGCGTGTTTGTGGAAGAGGATGAGTTGTGTGATAGGGGACGGCTTTGACCCCTTAATCCTGGATCAAGACCCAATGCTTCGGAGTCCAAATGCTGGGGGTGAGACAGGCCCCCCGCGGTCCCCAGGAACCTAAAGGAGCCTAAAGTTCGTATGGATACTCGGAGTTCCCCTGCCTCTCTTTGAGGAGGTAAGAGAACAGAGAAGTTTCCTCCCTTCTCTCCCCCGACCCCGTTGTTGGTCCCAAGGATCCATATCCCCGACGCCCCTTCACTCCACTCCCGGGCTGACGAAGGGGTACCCAGGTCTGAGGAAGAGGGGGTCCCTTGGTTCTCTCTCTGGAAGCGGCTGCGTGCCAGGCCTGGGGGTCTGGGCTAGGGTCATGGGGCGCCTCACCTCGAGCCCCCGCCAGGTGCGCGGCGGCGACAAAGAGGCAGAGTAGAGGCGGCAATGACGCCATGGTCGGGTCCGAGAGTCCAAGGGAGGGTCCGGGCTCCGCGGCGCGCTCGGATCTGACTCCCGCGGGTCTGGCGGCCGCTGGGGCTGAGGGTGGGGGCGGGAGGTGACCGCAGGCCACGCCCCGTCCAGGCCACGCCCCGTCCAAGCACCGCTCCCTGGCCCCGGGTGACTTCGGTGAGCTAGCAACCTCTCCGGGTCGCCCCCTTCGGTGCGTCCGGCTGTGCCTCCGCCCTCAGGCTGGCCTGCGTCCTCCCCACCCCTCGTCGCCAGCTGGAAGTCCCTCCCTCACTCAACCCACTCTCCGTTCTTGGGTCCCAAGCTGCCTGCGGGACGTGCCTTTTGGGATGGAGCCTGAGGCTGCCCAAACACTCACGCTTTAGGCAGCCGTTTGGGCGGCGAGGAGTCCTCCATCAAGTCTAACTTGAATCCACTTGGCGTTAGGCCACCCCCAAGCAGGCTGGAAGTCCCACCCTGAAGCTACCCTCTACTCTTCTGGCTCTCGCTTTCTTGGCCAGCGGGAAGTCCCGCTCTACGACAACCCTCCATGCCTGCAGCCTTGGGCTCTCGGGGACGGTGGGAAGTCCCTCCCCGAGTCTGCCCACCCCCCGCAGCGGACCCGGCGCACAGAGGAGGCGGAGGCGAGGTGGTGGGGGGACGTCTGTTTATTGGAGCGGGTCCGAGCCGCGAGGACGCGGAGGCGGTCACAGCGCCGCGACGCAGTCGGTGCCCGTGTAGCCTGGCAGGCGTAGAGCGAACTTTCGGCGCACGTCGTCGGGCACGAATCTGCCGGCCACGAAGTGGTGGCGGCCGGAGAAGCGGCCCGCGCAGCGCTTGGGCGCAGCGAGCGATACCAGCACGTCCGGTCGGAGCCCGTCCTCGGCGTCGCCGCCGCCGGTCTCCGCGTCCCAGCCTGAGGGAGGGAGGGGCGGGGGTGCGGGAATCGGGAGCTGGGAGGGGCGCTCGCCTTCTGGCGAGAGAGTCTTGCCTCCTCGCCACCCGTTTCCCCTTCCCCATCAGACCCAGCCTCAGCTCTCTGACGCGTGAGTCTTTGGTCAGACCTGCCTCCCCACAGTACTGAGCCTCCGCCCTCAGACCAGTGTCTCCCCTTCCTTGGAGATGCTCCCTTCGTCCTGTGACCAGAGCGTCTGCCCTCATACTTTTCTGCCCCTGCTGCCATCCTTCAACCAGTCTTTCTCCTCCATCTGACTCAGCCTCTGCCTTCAGACCCAGCATCTGTCCTAGTTCCTCCCTCCCTGTTAATCTTGAGCTCCCCCCGCTTCGGCTAGAGCCTGTTTCCACCCAGGCTTCCTAGCCAGCCTTCCTCCCCGGACCAGATCCTCGCTCTCCACCGAGGACAGACTGGCCTCCATCCTCACGCAAGCCTCGCCCATAAAACCTGTGTCCTTCCTCTTGGTCCTTGCCTCTGACAGGATGCGGCCCCCTCCCCACCCAGCCTGAATGTCCTTCCTCCTCCTTCTGACCAGAGCGCCTTCCCTCTGACCTGACATCTCTGTCTTCACCCTCACACTAGATCTTGCCTTTTGAATTGGCAGGACCCCGCCCCCTCCCTCACTGTGCCCTCGCCTCTGCCACCTCTCAGACGAGCCTCTACCTTCACACTAGGGACCCTGGCTTCTCCCCTGCTTCTGACCAGAGTCTGGAGCCACTAACTAAAAGCCTCCTCCCTCCGACTTTAACCCTTCCTTCTGTGACCCCAGTCTCCACCTTCAGACCAGACACCTCCCCTCTTCATAGCTGACCCCCTGCTCTGTGGCACCCTGCTGGGGTGGCCCTGAGGTCTTGAAAGCTGGGGGACACCCCCAAGTATGGCCACCCCCGTGGAGGGTCCGGCTGGCCAGCAGTTGTTTGTTCCGTCTGCCCGTCGCCTAATGGCTCCAACAGGCATGGGGCGGCGGCCAGGACGGGCGAGGCCTTTGCCGAGTGAGCTCACGTCTGCCCGGGCAACTGGGCCAGGGTGGGCAAGTGGGCACGCTGGGCTGGGCGTGGAGGGGTTGGGACATGGGATCACCTGAGCAGCAACCTCGGTCTTCCCCATCTTAAAGGATGGACTTGACCCTCACCCAGAGTGCACGAGCCGTCCATGCTGGGGAAACTGAGGCTCAGAAAAGGCAGACCGGCTGGGGCCATCAGAAGCTGGGGTGCAGAGGGCCCCCACCCAAGGCCCCAACATGCCCCCCCCCGCCTGCCTGGCATGCCTGAAGGAATGTCCAGGCTCACAAGAGGGATGGACAGCAGCTTGAGTGTGGCCAGCGCGCGAGTGCAGGGGCCTCCGATTTCTCCCGGCTCCACGCCAGGGCCCAGCACGGCATCCACCACCAGCCCATAGGCATCGTTGATAAGCTGGACCTGAGAGGGCGGGCATGGTTAGAAGGTGGTTTGGGGGCACTGCCCCCCCTCCCCCCTCATCTGCCACCAAGCGCTGACCTCTGTGGGCAAATAAGACAGGAAGGGGATGTCCATCTTCTCACACTGGGTAGTCAGGTCCTGGTGCAGCAGGTCTAGTGAGCGTGTAGGGTAGAAGATGGTCGGCTCATACTCCTGGTGGGGGAGGGGCAGAAAGGAGTCAGCACTGAGGGCCCTTCCAGGCCTCCTACTGGCCCTCAGCCCCCAGATCTGGATACCAGGCAGCAGACCCTGCCTGGGGCAAACACTGGGCGTATTCTGTCCCCCTGGGACACTATCAAGAGGAGGAAGCAATTTCTGCAGGGACAGGGTCGAGGGGGTGGCCCTAGGAGGCCAAGAGGGCCCTTGCTACTCACAAACACCCGCAGGTGCCGGGCACAGACCAGCCCCACCGCCCCGTTCTGCTCCGGGCCGCACACGACCAGCACTGTCCTCTGCTTCCGGGAGAGAGTAGACAAGGGGAACACCTGGCGAGGGGGGGGGCACAGCAAAGGCAAAGGCATAATGCTTGGAATCCCTCCTCGTTCAGGTGGGGAAACTGAGGCCTGGAGTAGTGAAGGGATGGACATGGGCCTGGAGGCAATAGAATGGAGGAGAGGCATTCAGGGCAAGGGGCATAGCCTCTTGGGGCCTCAGTTTCCTCCTTGGAGATGCAGAGCCCTTGCTTCAGGCTCTGCCAAGCTGGAGCAGGAACACGTGCCTTCTTGCCACCACCAGGCGCCCAGAGTGTGGTTTGTTTATTCTCGGCCTGAGTTGCAGACATTCTTCCACCTTTTTCCACCGCAGTGGCTGCCCCTCCCCCGCCCACGTTTCCAGGCCTCAGCCCTCCCGGAGGCCCCAAAGTTGGGGGGGGGGAAACGGAGGGGGGGTACTTTTCCAACCTGAGATGCCCTGTCTCTCTCCATCTGCCTCTGTCTTCACCTATCTTTCTCTGTATCTCTCTGTGTCTGTCCCCATCTGTCTCTCTGTGCCTTCATCTCTGCTCTCATCTCTGTCTCCTAGACTCTGTGTCTCTGTAGGCCTGTGCATCAGTCTCTTTAACACAGGAGTTAAGAGCACTGGTGTTCGAGTCACAGCCCTGCCCTGACTCTCTGCATGGCCTTGGCCCCCTCTCCTCTCCCAGCCTCACTTGGCTTCTATCAAATGGGAGTGACAGTGACACTGACATGGGACCTCTCATCGACAGGGTGCCCCAGGAGGCCTGGCTATACCCTAACCTCCAGCCACACACAGGGCCAAGTATACCTTTTTTGTCGCCCCCCCAAGGTCTCAGCGATGTCCTGAGCCATCTGCGGCTACACCACGCCAGGCCCAGAGCCCCGAGACCGGAGACTGAGGCAGGGCACCAGTGCTGCACTGGCTGGGACTGAGGGCCCTCTGGACGGACTTTTGGGGCTTTCAAGGCAAAAACTGGATGGCAGCTGGTCAGCAAGGGCCAGGCAGGAGTTTACTGCACTGGGTTTACTTTTAGGGCTTCGCCCTTTCCTTCTCCTTCGGGACCTTCACTCAGGATGTTTCATTTGGAAGTAGGAGTGTTAAAAAAAAAAAAAATTGAGCCTACATGAAGAAAGAAAGTGTGTTTAAAGAAGTCTGCAAGGGTGACAAGAAGAGGAAGACAGGGGGGCGCCTGGGTGGCTTAGTCGGTTAAGCGTCTGACTTTCGCTTAGGTCATGATCTCGCGGTTCGTGGGTTCGAGCCCTGCGTCGGGCTCTGTGCTGACTGCCAGCTCAGAGCTTGGAGTCTGTTTCAGATTCTGTGCCTCCCTCTCTCTCTGACCCTCCCCTGCTCACGCTGTTTCTCTCTCCTAGAAATAAATAAAACATAAAAAAAAAAAATTAAAAAAAAAAAAAAAGAGGAAGACAGGGAGGCAGAGGAGGTTATGTGTGGGAGCCCTGACACCATCAGGCTCTTCTCTAAGGCATTTGTGTTTATTAGCTCGGGTCAGTTTATTATTCTTCCTTTGGAGGGGGAAACAGGCCCGTGGTTCGGCAACATGATCCGAAGCACCGGAGGGCGGCATCGTCATTGCTTATCACTCCCGCGTCCCTTTCAGGCACCTTGAGACTGGGGCTCTGCTTACTATTCCCTAGGACCTACACTATGCAGGTCCTGCCCCCCCCCCGCCCGCCTCTGGGCCTCAGTTTCCCCATCTGCAGCATGGGGTTGTTAGGGGGTACTCAGCCTGCGGGAACCGAGGTTTCCCTTCCTGAGACCCAGGAGAGGGCAGGGGCAGGCGGTCACATCTGTACCTCACGGACCGCAGGCCCACCCTCAGCAGTGTTAGTCTCTGCTCCCCGGCCTCCAAGTCTCCGGACACTCCTCTATCTGCCCTGACTTTCACTGACACCTGGGGTCTTGGGTTCCTGCCTGGTTTAGACCGGTGATGATCCTCTCTGGGCCTCAGTTACCCCATCTGAGTGATGGACTGGAGTGGCTCCACACAAAAAGGGGCTTCCTGAGTCCTGGATCATCCTGACCCCAGGGCTCATGCAGCTAGGCCTCCTCCCCTCTGGTGGGCTGGCCATCTGGTTGAGGTCAAGGTCAAAGATCAGGGGTTAGATACCTTGGTCACAGCCACAGCACTGGCATGGCCACACAACTCCACCAGCTGCTGCCGCCCAAAGCGATAATCTTCCAGCAGCTCCCGCTCCAGGGCTGCCGCCTCCGCAGTGCTGGGGGACAGAGTGGGGAGAGACGCTCAAAGACACGGAGAGAGAAAGACAGAGAGAGGCTCAGATGGAACCAGTACTGTTCCACCAATAATCCCAGCTAGGCCCTAACGCCACCCCCACCGTCAGTTTCCCCACCAGACGTGCTTCTTGCGGTCGAATGGAACAGCGGAAGGTTTAAGCCGAAGCCCAAGGCACGGGCGCCCTCTGGTGGTCGAGGGAGACGTGGTAGCGCAGGTTGGTTCTATTGCCCCAAAGGGCGGGAGATTGGAGCCCGGCCCCGGATGCGCCCTCCTCCACCCCGGGAAGAACCCAGGAGGAATGGAGCGTAAGAGGGCGATGGGATGGGCGATGGGCGAATTCCATGCAGTGGAAACGGCGGGGCAAGCTCCAGAACCCTGGAGGGGGCAGACTGGACTAGGGGGGTGGATTTTGAAGGCTGCAGACGAGTTCACCTAAGGAGGTGGGTGTGGAACCCACAGCTATCAGGCCTATTGGTGACCCTGCACTAATTGTGGCCAGACAACTGGGGCTTACTCATCTGAGGTGAAGGTGTGCTGTCAACTCACTGAGTGGCTGGGCTCAGTCCCAGTCCCATCTGAGTTTCGCTTTCTCTTTTCCAAACATAAAGGCCGGAAGGATGGGCTAGATAAATTTCAAGGTCCATTTCAAAATGCAAACATGGGGCTCGTTATTTAAGATTTAAGAATTTTGAGATAATGACAACAGCATTACACTAAGTGTGGGGTCCTATTAAGAGCAGGGACCAAGCTGGCCTTGGCTTAGGGGCCTTCCAAGGGGCATGGGCTTAGTGGCTACAGAGAGGGAAAGCTGGCATGGAAGGCTGGAAATGTTCCTCACTCCAGAATCAGGGGTTGGGGCAGCTGGGCAGGATTTATGGCCTCTGCTCCTGGCAGGACTCCTTCCCGCTGGGGAAGAGCACCTACCCCCACTGCAGGAGACCCTAGAGAGTGACGTGGGTGGAGGGGGGAGGAGGAGGAGGAGGACCAGGCCCAGAAGAATTGGAAGAACATTCTCAAGCACTCTGAGAAGCCAAGGGACTTGCCCAGGGTCACCCAGGAAACAAGTGGGTAAATCGAGACTTCTACCATTTGGAGACTTCTCCAGAGCCATGGACTGGGTGTGAGCAAAGAGGCAGAAGCAGAACTACAGATACCAGAGCTTTCTTAGGATGAATCTTTAGGTTCCTTCCTTCAGTTCTGAGGAGACCACAACCTTCTGGCCAATTTTGCAGGGTGGTCAGGCCGGGCAGGAGGAGGGGCCTAAGTAAGGACTGCTGTGGGATGGGGAATCGGGGAGGACTTCCTGGAAGAGCTGGCCTGGAGCACTATGGGAGGTAATCCACGTGGTAAGAACAGCGAGGGCCAAGCCCCTGTGGTGGGAATGAGCTTGGAAGATTCGAGGGACAGAAGTGAGGCCAGTGTGGCTGGAGCAGAGCAAGCAAAACAGAAGCTGGGTCAGAGAGACACTTCGGGGGCCCACGTAGATAGGGGAGATGGATGGAGGCTGAGGGTAGGGAGTCTGCATGCCCTGAATCACCACAGCAACCAGAGCCAGATTCAACCCCAGCTGACTTCTTCGAATACGGCTGAAGGCCCAGTTAGGAAAAAAGAGCTCACAGTGGGACAGATGAGGAGCTCACAGTGGGACAGATGAGGAGCTCACAGTGGGACAGATGAGGAGCACCCCTCTGGGCAGGCCACCCAGGTCCCAGGGAAGAACATGGGAGGAGGTGTTTGGGAATGTGGCTCATTCTTCCACCTTCATCTTGTGATGGCTCTGGCTGTTGTCCCCACGGGGGGGCGGGGGGGGGGGAGAGGGGGAGTGTGGGAGGACCACCCATTCCTCACTTTCTTCCTCTGTCCTAAAGCTTTGGCTTCAGGCCACCACTTGGAACATTATCTCCCTGCCTAACTGGTCATTAGAGCGATAATGGGGACTCCATGGGCGGAGGATGGTTCAGGCTAGGAGCCTGGGAGTGGGGACAGTGGCAGCTCTGGGTTGGGTGTGAGTGGGAATTAGGGCCGGCGGGGGAGGGAAACAGGGCAGAGCCATGTGGGACTGGGCAGGGCAGGTGGCTCAGCTATGGCAGTGCCTCTTGCTTCTCCCACCATCAGCTCCCAGATGCGAGGAGCTGAGGACCAGGATTTCCCACAAGCAGAGAGGCTGAAGTGGCCTGCTTTCAAAGGAACTGGGCCTGATGCTCCCAAAATGCTTCCAGGAGCGGGCCCTTTCGGAGGGAAAGCTGAGGCCAGGGCACCCCCGCCAGGCCCTCCCTGCTCTCTTGACTCCGTCTGCTTCTCCACTGTCAGGCCTCTGCCCACCAGCCCGCCGCCGTTGCTCATCTGGCTGCCCACGACGGTCTCGTGGCCCCCAAATTCCTCAACACAAGAGGCATAGGGGCTTTGAAACGTGAATGCCAGATGACATCACCACTTGCCTCAAGCCTGCTTATGACTCCCCAGTATTCAGAGAATATTCAAATGCCTCACCACACCTACACGCCCATTATGTCTCTTATCTCCTTGTTTCCTCTCCCCTTGTTTGCCGTGTTCCACTCCTACCCACCCCACGGCTCCCATCACCCCTCAGCTGGCATCTGAGACCCCACGCAACTGCCCACCCCCCCCCCCCCGATGAAATCCCACCTCCAGCTTCCTTCTGCCTAGGATGTGCTGGGTCTACAGGCTCAGTCTGGACATCAGCCAGTCACTGGACAGTATCTGCCCCGAGGGCCTGAGTGGACAGTGGGCTGAGGACAGATTTGCAGACGAATCTGGTTTCCACTGAGGTCCACAGCCCTGCTTGGAGTCCTGGGGCACAAGGACTTAGAGGAGGACACAAGATGAGGACTCCGGACGAGGCGGGAGACACAGCCATGGCGGCCTGTTTCAGACCCCAAATCCCAACAAACTACCGGCAAGTGGCCCATGTGCTCAAAAAGCCCGTAGCCCTGGCTCAGGCAGTGGCTTCCTTCCCCGGGCCTCAGTTTCCTTCTCTGGTCAAGAAGATAGTAGCAGGTGGGTCACTGAGAGGGGTGTGAGTGTTTGAGGAGCTAACAGCTGGCTCTTCCCAGGGAAGTAGGGGAGCTGAAGGGTGGGAGCTCCAGGGTCCCTGGGTGAGATGGAAAGGGAAGGTGGGCCTTGACTGGGTTGACGGGTGATGGCAGAGCTTAGTGGTGTTGCTGAATGATTCAGAAGGGCGGAATGAGGAGAAAGCAGTTTCCCTGGCAACTCAGCTTAGGAGACGTTGGCAGCAGCTGGCTTCTGGCTTCGTTTCTCAAACGAAATGCGGGGTGGGCCTTGGATCCCCCTAGGCCCCATCCCAGCCATGCCCCTTCCTCTGATCTATCCTGCCCATGATGCCCCCTCCCAGCCATGCCCCTGCCTCCGGGCCGCATCCCTGCCATGGTCCTTGAGGTCCCCATCCCTGGCTGACCTGAGGAAACGCCGCTCCTCGGGCGCCTCCGCTGGGTCCGGGCGGGCCGCGCTGCTCATGGCCAAGGTGAGCCTGGACGCGCGCAGCGTGGCCGCCACCGCCACCGCCTTTTAAGAGCATCCCAGGGCAGAGGAGGGTATCCTCGGTCCTCCTCCCTCCCCACCCACCCTGCGTATCCGCCAATCAGGCAGCGCCGCGAAGGCGCTGCGCGCAGGGATTGGCTGGCGGGTGGAGGCGGACTCAACCCTTTCGTGCCCGAAGTGGAGCTGCCTAGGGAATGGAGTAGAGACGTGGGTGTTAGCAGGGCGAGGAATGGATGGGTAGCAATCTGTTAGCCCTGTAATGCGGTCCTGGCCTAGGAGCAATGGAACCTGCCTCTGCCGCCCCTCCACCCCATGCTCCGCTCTTCAGGTCCCCCATTCACTGAGGAGCCCATGGTGCGGGGTGGAGAACCCGGGCTTGGAGGGGTGGGCTGCTGAAGAGGACGTCAACAGAGGCAGGAAAATCCAGGCATGTTTGTGAGCCAAGGCTGATGGATCCAGGGGCAGTCTCTGGGTAGGTTTTGAAACCACCCTACCTGGCATCTTCGGCAGAGACCCCAGATCTAGACCCTGTATCCCCAGGCCACGTGTAACCCAATGGTGCCCCACTAGCCGTCACTCAGTCGCTGGGACACAGGCAAACAGGTCTCCAGAGCATTTATTCTTCCCAGGGGGGAGGGCGCAGGGGTCCAGTAGTCAGAGGGGTGCCGGCCCCTACGTGTACCAAATGAAGCCGTAGGCGCTGTTGAGAATCTCTTCGTTCGTGCGCAGCCCATAGAGCTCGCCCATCACCGGGTTCACCCAGCGCGTTGTGTGGAACACAGACTCGCCCACCTGTGGGGACAGTGGGGTATGGGTGGGCGGGCAGCTACCCCTTCAGGGCCCCACTGCCTACTGGGACCCCACCAGGCCTGGTGACAACCGTGCCTACGGCACAAGCTGCTGTCTTCCCCTCCTCACGCCCGGCCCCCACTACCCCTCTGGGCTCCAGGTCTTCCCGGGAGGCCGAGTTCCCGCAGCGGGCCTGGAGCCCCGCCCTCCCTACCCAGGGCCCACCTTCCAGTCAGGCACGTCCTTCATGATGATGGCCTCCTCTTCCAGGTTCTCCCGAAGCATCTGCAGAACCCTGTGTGGATGGAATGGGAGGTGGGGGCCGGGCCTGAGCAGCCGAGGAATCCCTGCCCGCCCCCTCCCTGTCACCACCCATCACATCACCTCCTGCCACTTCCAGCCCAGCAGGTGCCAACCCGTCTGGTCCTTTTCTCCCCCTACAAACGCTGACTGTCCTGCTCAATGTCTCCTCCTCCAGGGAGCCTCCCCATTCTAGCCCTTGGGTCTCCAAGTGTGGGACCCTCTCCAAGGGTGACAGCAGCCCCACATATGCCAGGACAGAGCTGTCAGCCCCCAAATGCATTCTGGCCATGTCCTGCACTGCAGGCTGGGACACTCAGGCCTGTGACCTTCCAACTCTGGTTCCAGCAGCCCCACCTCCGGTCCTTCTCTGCCTGCAACAGTGGCATCAACGCAATGCGGGCCTCGAAGTCCTCAATCTGCAGGCGCCTGTGAAGCCCCAAAACCGACAGATCAGATGAGGCTGGAGTAGGGGAGAGATGATGTGGCCTCAGACTCAGGGTCACGTGCAGGGAGAGGGGCTGGCAGAGAGGCAAGTGAGTGGGGCAGGGTTTGGGGAGTAAGCTGTACCCACCAGATGATGAGAAGTGGGAGGCATGGGCACATGAGTTGGCACAGACACTGGTCCACAAGACTGATGGCTTTGCATTTTCCTTTCAATTAAAAACTTTACTTTTTAATCCTAAAAATAGCCCTGGCCTGACGACTGTGGTGAACCCCGGACAGGGGATGGGACATTCACACAGGGCTCTGGGCCTTACAAAACCATATCCCCTTCCTGTCAAAATAACCCTGGGGTGTGAGCCCAGTTCTGCATCTTCCAAGTCACCAGCCCCATCTATACGGGGGGAGGGGGGTGGCACCCAAGGATGTGGCCCCTGGCCCTGTCCCCTCACCACCAGGAATCTCACAGCCTCACAGGGAAGGGTCTGGATGAACTTCAGCCCCTATTCCTCCTCCCCTCCTCCCAAACCCAGAGGAGCATCCCCGCCCCCACCACAGCCCCACACTGCTGTCAGCGTGTCCATACTCCCGTGGGTGGTGCATCCTGGGAAGCTAGACCTGGTTTGAGTTCCCTCAACAGAGTTGAGCACCTGACACAGGTGGGCCTTCTCCAGCACCACCCTCGGGGATTCCCAGACTTCGAGGGGGGGGGGGGCAAATGAGCTCAAAGGGGTGCTAATGACATATTAACACAGGGTGGGACAGGGCAAAGGGGCCCAGCCAGTAAGGGGCCAATGAGAAGGGGTCACCTGGCAGGGCATCCTGCTGGCTTTAGAGGTAGCAAGAGTCTGAATGGAGGCCACCATCTGCCTTGGTCCCTCAGGCCCCATGTGGCTGGCACGGCCATTGTGCTGCGTGGCTTGTTTCTAAGCCCTTACTGTCCTCTTTGCCTGGTTACCGCTGACAAAAACCCACTAAAAGAGCATGTCCTGAGCCTGCCCTTCCCCCTTCCCCTCCCCGACGGGCTGTCCTCATCCTGACCCTCGGGTCCCTAGCAGCGGAGGCCGAGAAACACCTGGCAAAGAGCTCTGCGCTTACCACTCCTTTCTGGAGGGCCCATACTTCCTGAGCTTTGAGGGGCTGATGAAGGGCCCCAAGGGACACCAAGTCCACAGGTGCACCCCTTGCTCCCCAGCCCGGGGCCTACCTGCGCTCTCGGTTCCACTTCATCATGCTCCAGTACCCAAACAGCAAGGTCCCGATGCCCACAGCAAACATGCTGTAGCCTGCGGGGAGAGGGGCAGCAGCTCAGCACCTGCCCTGGGGAAAGGCCACCCCTTGTAGTTTCTTCTCATGAAGCACAATCCGCTTGCCGTACAAACACACCGGAAATGTGGACGCGAGAGAAGGTGAAAGTCTTAGTGACTCCCTCCTAGAAATGGCCAGTACCATCTCTAGTGCGTCTTTCTTCAGATTATTTTTTTGTCTCTGTGGAATGTCCACCTGCCCTTTCCCTCGGACCCCGTCCTTCCCAATTGCAAACAACTCTCGTTCACCTGTCTTGCAGCCAGGCAGCTGCCACAACTCTACCCCCACCCCCCACCCCATGCCACAGTTTCTGGAAGGTACAGGGTGGGTGGGGCTTACAGGGTGGGCCCGAAGGTCTTGCTGTTTATGGTTGGGCGGCCCCAGCTCCACAACCTTCTAGAGGGTTGCTGGGTTTGCAGTCAGCAGGTGCCTCCACAGGGAAGGACAGTGTCTACAGCTGGGCCCAGCTCCATGGTGGCTCCTGGCTGCCTGGGCCGCTTCTCTGAGTGCTGCCCACAGGGAACTGGGAGGGGCTGCCAGAGGCAGGCAGTGCCCTGCAGGGGCCGCCCAGCCACCCCTGGGCTCCCGGGGGTGCTGCTGCCTCCTGGCCCAGAAGGGTCAAGCCCCCTGCCTGGGCACCAGGGGACAGAGGCTGCCAGGAATATTTCCTGACACCAGGAGGCCCCTGTGCTATAATTCTGACTGACAGGCCGTGGGCCTGCTGGGGTCTTCAGGGAGGCCCAAGCCGCCTGGGTCCTGGCTGGGACTGGCGCACCCCATACCCTCTCATCTCCTGAGCTGTGATCTCTTCCCTGGACGGGCCTTGTGGCTGCTGGGCAAAGCTGACAAGCTCAGCCAGGTCAAATTCCAGTTAAATAGCGGGGGAGGCCACTCCCTAGAACCTGTGGGGGTGCACAGTAGGGGCTCCGGGAGTCCCAGCCCTGCTCCATACTGGTGCATGTCTCTGTTGTCCTGGTCCTCGTCTTTCTATTGCAGCTCCGCTCCAGCACAGGGCTTTTCTGGTACCTCTGCTGGACCCAGAGATGCATGAGAAACTGGTTAGATGAGCCTTCCATGTTACAGGAGGCAGGACGAGGGCACCCCGGTTCCCGTGCACAGAGGCAGACCCTCTCTGGAGAGGCCCCAGCGCCCCGGACCAGCTCCCAGTGCACCTGTGGCTCTTTACACACGGGAGACCGCCAGTGCTGGCAGGGGCGTCTTAGAAGAGCTGCCTCTTTCTTTTCAGTAGCTGCAGAGCAGCCCAGGGGCCTCTTCTTTTGACCCAGCCCCAAGGCACAGGCCTGGGCTGTCCTCATGGAAACCTTCACACCTGCACCCACGTGGGCCCCCGCATGAGATAAATTCCAAGAATAAGGTGGCCTTTACAATGGTGCAGCTCTTTCTTGCTGACAGTGGCGAGGCCGACACCCCAGACCCTCCGCATGGGTCTGTGCCTCAGGAGCTGCCCGTCTGGTGGTGGAGGCTGATGAGGGATGTGCCCAGAAGGGGGTGCAGGCCATGAGGAAAGAAGACCTGAATAAACAAACATCCTGGGGTCACGTACTGGAACTGAACACTCTGCACATGGCAGCACTCCCCAAACTGAGGTACCAATTCAGTGCAGTACCCCACATTCAGAATCCCAACCTTCCCCCTTTACCAGCCCCACAGAAACTAAGGAGCAGATTGTGAAATTCAGGGGGCCAAATTAACCAAGACAGTTCTGAAAAGGAACAAAGTTGGAGGACTCACACTTCACAATGTCAAAACTTAACACACAGCTGTGCGTACACAATAAGATTGTGTGGCCCGGCATCAGGATAGACACGTACATCGATGGAACAGAGCGGAGAGTCCAGAAATAAACCCTCACATTTACGGTCAATTGATTTTGGACAAGGATGCCAAGACAATTCAGTGGGGAAAGAACAGTCCTTCAGCAAATTGGATCAGTGGACGATGACACACAGAAGAATAAAGTGTCCTTTTTCCTTCCCCCATACACAGAAATTAACTCAAAACGGATCAAAGACCTCAAACTGAGAGCTAAAACTATAAAGCTCTTAGAAAACAGATGAGTCAGTCTCTGAGACCTTGGATGAGGCAATGGCTTCTTAGCATTGGCACCAGAAGCACAAGTGATGAGAAGAAAACAAATAGATGAACTGGGCTTCAAGGAGATGAAAAACTTTTGTGCCACAAATGGATACTGTCAAGGAGCTGAATGGAAGAAAAGTCTTTGAAAATCCTGTAGCTGATAGGGGAATGACATCCAAAACGTATAAAGAACTCTGCAAACCCAGTAATAAGATGAACAACCCAATTTAAAAAATGTACAGGGGCACCTGGGTGACTCAGCCAGTAGATCATCTGACTCTTGATTTTAGCTTAGGTCATGACCTCACTGTTCATGGGTTCAGGCCCCTCATCGGGCTCTGCACTAATACTGGGGACCCTGCTTGAATTCTCTCTGTCTCTCCCTCTTCTTCTGCCCCCTCTCCAGCTCTCTCTTCCCCCACCAAAAAAAAAAAAAAAAAAAAAAAAGTACAAAGGACTTGAAGACATTTCTCCTGGAAAGTTATACAAATGGCCAATAAACACATGAAAAGATGCTCAACATAGTCACCAGGGAAATGCAAATCAAAACCAAAGTGAGATGCCACCTCATACCCACCAGAATGACTAGAATTTTAAAAAGAAAGAAAAAAAAAGTAAAATAATCAGTGTTGTCCAGGCATGGAGACACTGGAACTCCCAAACACTGTAGGGAGAGATGTAAAGCAGTACAATTTTGGAAAGAGTGTGGCAGTTCCTCAAAATGTTAAATGTGGAGTTACCACTCCACTCACTGTCCCCCCTTCTTGCTCACATATTCTCTCTCTCACAAATTCTCTCTCAAACATTAAAAAAAATATACTAAAAATAAAAACTAAAAAAAAAACCCTGCTGAGTGAAAGCAACCAGACACCAAAGGCCACACAGAGTAGGACCCATTTCTACGAAATGTCTAGAACAGGCAAATCCCTACCAGACAGAGAGCAGACTGGTGGTAGCTGGCAGCTGAGGGAGGGAGGAGAGGGACTGATCTGTCCACGGGGTCTCCTTTTGGACAACAGAGTAATGGAAGTGTTATAAACTTAGATCCTGGGGAGAGTTATGCAACTGAGAATAGACTACAAAATCAATAATTTGTACACATGTAACAGGTGAATGGTCTGGTCTGTGAATTTCAATCAAAATGTTAAAGGCACAAAGGAAAAAAAAATAAAGGGCCACCTACTGAGCACAGGAGGGAGTGGAGAGAAGAGCGCAGTGTGGAAAAGATGAGGGCAGCAGTCACTTTGGGAACAGCGTAGATTAAAGGTGGCCTGAGCCAGCTTGGCATGGTCTAGGACACTAGTGGCAAGTGATCTAGGCAGAGAAAGGGGAGTGGGTGCCAGGCTTGGGTGCCTTACAGGAGCAAGGGAAGGTAGGACTAACGGGAACATGGCTCAAAAGCAAAAAGCAAAGCTGCAGGAGGGGCACAGCAAAGAGGATTATGATGGAGCGCAGGATGGAGAGCAGGGCCTTTGCACTTGCTGTTCCCGCCACCTTGGGGATTCTTCAGAGATGTCCTTTCAGCCCACCCTGGGTAAAGTAGGCTAAAGTAGGCCTTGGTTATCTAGGGCCTTACCAAAATGAGAAATTCTGGTGTGATTATTTTTATCTCCTCTGATAGGCTGTGAGCTCCAGACAGGGCTCAGTGCCATGTGCACATTCAACAGGCGGTTAGTGAATGCAGGTACATACACAAAGACCACGCGGCCAGAAGGGTCTCGTCCTCACTCCTCTGCAGCCAGGAAAGATGGGATGGGTTTGCATGCACTACAATGCAAGTTGGTGTGAAGGGGTGTAACCAAGAGGCCCAACCAAAGATAATTTTATAGAAGCACTAGTGTGTCATTAACTGGAAGAGGACTGGAATTAAGGACACATTTGTGACTTAAAAATAAAACAGAGGGGCGCCTGGGTGGCTCAGTTGGTTGAGCATTGAACTCTTGATTTCAGCTCAGGTCATGGTCTCACAGTTTGTGGGTTATAGCCCCACAATGGGCTCTGTCCCGTCCTCTCTCTCTCTCTCTCTCTCTCAAAATAAATAAATAAACGTAAAAAGAGAGAGAGAGAGAGAGAGAGAGAGATGCTGACTAGGAGGAGTCCAGGGAGGACCTAGGGCTGGGACCCTTCTGCAGCCTGGTCTGGATACAGGTCACACAGGTGCGCATGTATAAACAGACTTCATGCCATACACCTGAGGGGTACACTGGCCTGGGTGTGAAGTTATACTTTGAGGAAAGAAATGAAGACATTTAGACCACATTGTATTTGTTCAATCTGTTCTAGGATGAGTCAAGTGCCGATGTGGTGCCAATCTAGACTGTAACCTGTTTCTGTAATGATCCTTGGGTTAAGAACACTTTTAGGTTTGTAAACAGTTGTTTAAAAAAAAAAAAAAAAAAGCAGCAGCAATGGACACAGAGCATCTGGCTAGCAAAGCATAAATTTAAAAAAAAAATTTTTTTTAATGTTTATTTATTTTTGAGACAGACACAGGGCATGAGCAGGGAAGGGGCAGAGGGGCAGAGAGGGAGACAGAAACCAAAGCAGGCTCCAGGCTCTGAGTTGTCAGCACAGAGCCCGATGTGGCGCTCGAACTCACAAATGGCAAGATCATGACCTGAGCCAAAGTTTGGATGCTTAAGGACTAAGCCACCCAGGTGCCCCCAAAGCATAAAGTATTTATCGGGCTTTTAACAGGAAAAGTTTGCCAACCTCAGTTCTGGGATACAAAAAAGCCAAGAAGGGGCTGGGAAGAGCTTGAGTTTTTACCTGATACTAACTTTCCCAATGGCTGAATTTTTTTTTTTTTTACCAAGTCCATAATTTTTAAAAATTGAGGCATATTTGCATAATATTAAATGTAAAGTTCCAAGAGTTATGAGAACTGTATTTACCCTCGTTAAAAAGTTTGTATTTCTCTGTTAACTCTGGGTGCAAAGCATGTGCCCCTCTACTTTTTTTTTTTTTTTTTTACATTTTTCTGTGTTGAACCCAGTAACAAAATTTTTAAATGTTATTAAAACATCTGAAAAACTTAATACATATTCCTGGGACATTCACAGGTAGGGACTACCAGAGAGGAACATCTAAATTCCCTCAATATTCCGGCTTCCGCAACCAGTTTTACTCTGGATGGCCCTGGGTGCAGCCTCCCCCGGGTCTCAGTTTCCCCACTCGGAAGTGTGGCCGAGGGCTCGGGGCACGGGCTAAATTATGCGGTTTAACTAACTGTAAAATGGAAACAGTGGGAAGGACCTCCCGGTAAGTTCTGTTAAGAAAGCAAAGCTTAGTAATCGTTCGACAAACTGCAGCAGTTACCATCGTTACTACTGAAGCGATAAGGGATCCTCCGGTTCCACCTCCCGTCACACCGCAGCGGAAACTGAGGCCCGCGAGCCTCCTGGGCGTCCCGTTCCCGCCGCGGCGCTCTGGAGCCCCAACCCTGACACCCACACACAGTGAGGCACTAACCCGACAGTCCCCGACGTGGAAGATTCCGCTTGTAGTCGATGGGGCCATAGCCCCCCGGCGGGGGCATGTCCTGTTTCACCTTCGACGCGGCCATGCTCCCAGGACCCGTACTTCCGGCTGCGGGCGGAAGTTACGTACAGCAGCCGCCGCCATGATGAGTGTGGCGGAACGTACCGCGCATGTCTCAGGCGGGACTAGGGCACCTAGGATACTAGGGTAGCGATTCTACGGCGAGGTAGAGCTCCGGGAATGGGTTCAGGGATCATCTGGGCGAACAGGCTGCAGCTGAGGCCTCTCTATTTCTTCTCCCATATGGGGCTTAGCCCAGTCGGTGTAGACGGCTGGAGTTCGTCCGGTCGTCCGGGCCCTTGCCCTAGAAGACTTCACTCACACCTTCGCCATGGTGCTATGCTTAGGTCATTCAGAGACCCCAAGCTCCTGAGGGAGCCAGGTCACCGTTAAGCTCCCTCTCGTTTTCTCCCCATCGCGGGTCACTGAGGGCAGCCCAGAGCTTCACACGGCCAGGTCAAGGTACACGAAGTTGGGCGACGACTGCTGTTCATATTTGACTCATGAGGAGCCTCCCCAGTGCCAGTCACAAATTTTGCTCCCCAGCCATGGTCGAGACCCCTTGCCAATAGTCTCTCATGGGAACTGGAGCATTCAGAGCAATTATGAGTCACAAAGCCTGATGGCCTTTGGGAGGCCCCGCGGGGCGGGGTCCAGGGGGCCCCCACCCTAAGGCGGGGTGACGCCCACAGTCACTTCACAAGGCAGAAACTGTTACCTGGGCAATAAAAGGCACTGCAGCGGCAGGGTCCCGGGAGTGGGCACATGGGGGTGCGGGGGTGCAGGTGCCAAGCACCATGGGTTAGGCCCGAGGTTGGAGTCCGGCCGCCCTCCGACAGCAGCCGCCTCCTGCTCCCCGCGCGCCCCTGGCGCCACCATGTCGGGCGACAAACTTTTGAGCGAACTCGGCTATAAGCTGGGACGCACGATAGGCGAGGGCAGTTACTCCAAGGTGAAGGTGGCCACGTCCAAGAAGTACAAGGGCACGGTGGCCATCAAGGTGGTGGACCGGCGGCGCGCGCCGCCTGACTTCGTCAACAAATTCCTGCCCCGCGAACTGTCCATCCTTCGCGGCGTGCGGCACCCGCACATCGTGCACGTCTTCGAGTTCATCGAGGTGTGCAATGGAAAGCTGTACATCGTGATGGAGGCGGCTGCCACCGACCTGCTGCAGGCAGTGCAGCGCAACGGGCGCATCCCCGGGGGTCAGGCGCGCGACCTCTTCGCGCAGATCGCTGGGGCTGTGCGTTACCTGCATGACCACCACCTGGTGCACCGTGACCTCAAGTGCGAAAACGTGTTGCTGAGCCCTGACGAGCGCCGAGTGAAGCTCACTGACTTTGGCTTTGGCCGCCAGGCACATGGCTATCCTGACCTGAGCACCACCTACTGCGGCTCGGCTGCCTATGCGTCGCCTGAGGTCCTCTTGGGCATCCCATACGACCCCAAGAAATACGACGTGTGGAGCCTGGGCGTCGTGCTCTACGTCATGGTCACCGGCTGCATGCCCTTCGACGACTCGGACATCGCTGGCTTGCCCAGACGCCAGAAGCGCGGCGTTCTCTACCCCGACGGCCTCGAGCTGTCCGAGCGCTGCAAGGCCCTGATCGCCGAACTGCTGCAGTTCAGCCCGTCCGCCAGGCCCTCAGCGGGCCAGGTAGCGCGCAACGGCTGGCTGCGTGCTGGGGACTCCGGCTAGAAACCCGGGTTCCCGCCAATCCCGCCGCCGTGAGCAATGCGCAAGCGCAGCGCACGCGTGCGAGACGCGCTTCCGTGCTCCCGCGAAGCCGACACGCGCCACTGCGCACGCGCATCCCCCTCCCCCCCCCCGCCCCCCGCCCCGCTTTTCCTTTCTCTGGATGGTTGGGGCTGCAGTCGCCCCTGTTTAGAATCTAGCTCCTCTCCCCAACTATACCGAGGGCAGGGCGCAAGCGCTTCCTCTGTTCCCCAAGAGAAGGCCTCGGTAGGGGAAGGGACGAGAGGAAACGGAAGCACTGCGCCAGCGCGGAATGAGCGATGGCTGCGGGCAGGCCGTGGCTACCTGGAGGAGCTACCTGCGAGTGGACGCGTGCGAAGGGCGTCCTTCTCAAGACAGCCGTGCATGCGGGTGAGGGACGGTGCGCTCCTGGAGCTGCCTCCTTGGAACTTGCAATAAACTCGCTCTTCCTCGCACCTGCCTCTGGCAATGGCCCCCTTTTACCGAGGCGGGGTTGGGGCGGGAGTCATCCTGCAGGGGAAGGCAGTCGTGGCGCCCCCATTGTAGAAAAAGTCTCCTTGAGGTTCTTGCTCTAGGTCTCAAAAGGGAATTGGGAGGATTCAAACCAGATTTTTGGGCTCCCCAACCTCAGTCGACTCGAAAGGGCTTTGGGCCCATCCCAAGGGTTGTGATGGGAATGGAATTGCTGGTCTGGGGAGCAATGATCCCAGCCCCCTGCCAGTGTTTAAGGATGGAACCGCATGGGGGTGGCGGCCTCCTGCCTTAACATAAACTGAGCGTTTACAGATGAGGAGATTGAGGCCCGTACAGATGTCGTTTGCCCAAGAACACAGCTGGAATTTGAAACCAGAAATGGCTGGAGTGGAGTTGGGGAGGTGGTGGAAACTCTTAGTAAGGGCCCTTCCTTGGTAAAGTTGTTTGGGGTAGGGGTAGGGGAGAGTCAAGGGTAAAGCGTTAGTCTGCTGGGCAAGCTGGTTACTTCAGTCCTTTCTTCATACATTTATTGAATGCCTACTGTGTGCCAAGCTCTGGGACTTAGCAGAGAGGCTTGGATCCATCCCTGCCCTCAGCTAGGAGGCAAGTAAAAAGTCAAGTAAAAGTGCATGGCGTTTAAAGAATAGTAACTTAGATGTGGTTTATCTATACGATGGAATACTACATGGCAATGAGAAACCATGAAATCTGGCCATGTGAAGCTACATGGACGGACTTTGAGGGTGTTATGCTTAGTGAAATAAGTCAGGCAGAGAAGAACAAATATCATATGTTTGCACGTATAGGAGGATTAGGAGGAACTTAACAGAAGACCATGGGGGAGAAGAAGGGGGGAAATGGTGGGGGAGAGGGAGGGAGGCAAACCATGAGAGACTCTTGAATGCTGAGAACTGAGGACTGATGGATGTGGGGGGGGAGGGGCGAGATGGGCATAAAGGGGGGCACTTGTGGGGATGAGCACTGGGTGTTATATGGAAACCAACTTGACAATAAACTATTTGTTAAAAAAAATGTAAGTAAAGCTATAAAAAATAAAAAAAGATAAAAAAAAAGAATAGTAACTTGTGCTAGAAAGCTGCATGAGGGGAAGGACGAGTTACCAAGGAAGGACTGAAGCAGACATTTGAGCAGAATCCTGAAGGAATCAGCTACTGGAAACAGAGAAGTGTTCCCAAGATACTTTGGAGCTGGTGTGTTTGGGTAATGCCAGGAAGGTCTATGGCTGGAATGGAGAGGGAGGGAGAAGAGGTGGAGAGGTGTGTATCTGGACAGAGAACCCCACAGAGCCTGGGGGAGATTGGGGATCATTTTTTGCTGCAGTGAGATTACTGGGTTTGGTGACAGCACCTGTCTCTCATTTGGGGTGTGTGAGATGTCTCCCTAAGCCCTAATCCTGCTGGCCTCTATCGGAGCCCCACACCACAGTCCCCAAGGAGGGTGATCATCTTGTGGGTCTGACCATGCCCTGCTCCTCCTCACTCACCCTTCGTGGCTCTCAGGTGCCCTGGCATTAAGTACCAGCTCTTCCCTAACCCCCTTCAAATAGATGAGGCAACTGAGGCTAAGAGAGGGGAAGCCCTCTAGTCTTGCTAGTCTTGTCTGGTTCATATCTGACCTGAAACAGAAAACCCAACCCCTCTGGTTCACACTAGAAGGGCGCCTCTTCTGGCCTGGACCATACCTTGGAAAATGGAAGTGGGAACAACCTTGGGAAATGGAAGTTGGGAAGGGCTGTGGCTCATCAAAGGATGGCATCCTGAGCCTTCTTAAGGGTCCCACCATCCTCAGAATGAAACCCACTTCTTCATCCCTTTCCCCTGTGGTCCAGACACACTGCCTTCCTTGTCCTTGACTCCAGGTTTGGCCTCACCTCTGAGCCTTTGCATTGGCTGTTGCCATTCCCTGTACCACTTTCCCCCTCCTCTTCAGTCCAGACTTGTCCTAACAAGTCACCTCTTCCCTGACAATCCATTCTTTCCCTCCTTGCCCTTGCCACAAGGTGGGGTCCTAGTATCTGGGGTATGGCATGCACCTTTTTCTATCCTTAATCTGTGTGAGCAATGGGGCCTGGGGCTCCTCTTACCCCATGGCCACAGACCTGTGTATGGCTCAGTTCAGAGGGGACAAGGCCTCAAGGACCAGGGCAGTTGTCCCATTTGTTGGCTGGAAAAGCTGCTTGAGACTCACCCCTGACCAATTAAGGAACCTGTGCCTGTCTCAGTGAAAGCTCACTTGAGGGCTGAATTTGGAGCCCCTAATGCCCCATAAGTGTGCTGCTTGCAGCCAGTGTTGGGTCATGGGGCACCAGTCAGGTGTCACAGGTGGACTGGGACAGGTTTGGGCTTAACTTCTGTGATGTCTTCTAGCAGTTCTGTGTCTTGCCCGTGTGAAACCTAGCCAGCTGTGGTGGTTGGAGAGGACAATCACCCACCCCAGGCCAGAGGCAGGAAGGTCTTAACAAAAAAAGACAAAGTAGGGATAAAGGGGGGGGGGGGGAGCACCTAGGAATAACAGGCTCATATTTTATGTACATTAGAATTTACCAGTGATCGTCTCACTTTATGCATAACTTTTGAAACTGTGTGTCGATACCTGAGAGCAAATATTGATGAAATCACCACCAGAAACTGCTCATTTCAGAGCTGGCAGGACAGCTCTGTGCTAGAACCCACATCTGCAGTAACGTCCTGCAGCAAAGACACCCAATGTAGATGCCAAGCTTGAAGATTCCAGAAAAAACTACCACTCCAGGGTGGAGGCTGGAAGGGGCTAAGAACCAGCAGATGGGCAAAACTCACTGGAACCTCACTCTCCTCCGTCAGTTCTGTGGGTAAGTAGGCCACAAAGCTGCAGGTTCTGGTGAAGATGGGAGGCCCAGAGGCAAAGCCACAGTGTCCACTCTGGGGAGGTGTTCCAGACACTTGTGGGAATGAAGTCTGAAAGAAGCCCAAGAAGCAGGTGTCTCATTGTTTTCCCATGAACAAGGGATCACCCTACTACACCTACCCCAGTCCCAAGCTGCCCCAAAGCTGGGACAAAAATAATGCAGGGAAACTAGGACCGAGGGGACAAAAGAAAAATACAGCCAACACATTGTCCATTTCTTTATTTTCCTTCAGATTCTAAGACTTCCTCATGACACAATGTATAGCCATTGATTCCAGCCTCTGTTCATTGGAACTTCTATTCCGGTTTGGTGGTCAACTTTTTACATTTATTATCAAAGATTTAGAGTCACAATAAATACAAGTGACAATCTCTCCACCCACCCCCAAAAACCCCACCTTCCAAATACCCTGCACTAGTGTAACTGTCTATTACACTTTCATTGTTAAGTATTATAAAACTTCAGCTGTCCTTTAAAAAAAAAAACTCAGTCCAAGTTTTTTAGGCAACCATCATGTGCAGCATAGCTCGGCATCAAATAAAAACCCTATGGTGGAGAAGCAACAACTGTCTTTTTCATGATCTACACCCCTGTGATGAGAATACTTAAATTATATAGAAAATTCCTCCCCATGTCTTTCTGTCCACAGGAAAATGACATGTAGGACACAGGAGCCATAACACAGCAGGGCTGAACTCAGTTGCCTTTCATTCCCTCTGCACTGGGGCCAACCCTTGCTTCATGAGGGTCTTAGGATGCAGACAGGACCAGAGGCTACCCCTGGAAGGAGGGCAACTTTGGCCTTGTCAAAGGTGTGGGTCCCAACATCACGGCTGGGACACTGGGGGACCAGGGCCCCATGACATGGGCAGGATGACCAGAGCAATGGGTGGCACTAAGTGGACACACATGTATCTATGTGCACATGCATGTATACACATATGGCCATTTCAAACATGCAACCCTTCACCCTCCCTAACATCTTGAACAGTTTCCAGTTGCCACTGGGACTTCATGTCACAGGTAACTCCGGATCTTTATCATTTGGGACTGAAGGCTCCCAAGTTCTCACTGCTCCTAGGAACCAGGTCCTCTCCGTCCTGCGGCCTCCCAGGGGTCATCGGGAGACCAGAATCCCAGCACTGTGGCCAACTTTGAGATGGGCTTTGCTACTGGGAGAACACCCTGAACATTATCTTGTCTGAATATGTCCAAACCCCACATGCAGAGATTTAATATGCCTTTCCTATAACCTCATAAGCCTCATCAAAGAACTACTTATTTGGGTCTTATCAGAGAAGTTACACCACAAAGGGAGAAAAAAAAAAGTGGGGGAGAGTAGGAGTTTTGATACAGTAGAAATGAACAAAAGATTAAGGCATCTCACATTCTTGTCCCCTTAAAAAAAAAAGTTACATGTCACAGTAAGTGGCCCCTGATGGGATCATTCCCAGGGACCCTGGGCTGGAGGAGATAGAGCCAGGGCCTGTAGCCCCATCCTCCACCAGTGGCGGTCGGATTTGTACTGAATTCATGAGGCCCACTTAATAGCTCAGAGGCTGGTAGAAGTCCAGCCACGCATGGTGAACAGAGGTGGTTCCTGAGCACAGTGATGAGCGAGGTTCTAATGGGCTGAGGTTGAGGGCCAACCTGCGCAGCACAGCTCAACTCAGGCCCTTGAGTCACAGACCCATTCAACTCCAGCTGGGGCGTGACCATCCTGGCACACCCCTCCAG